TCCTCCTCCTCCTCCTCCCAGGTGGCGGCGGTGCGTGAGGGCATGTCGTGGATCGTCCCGGTGCCGCTGCTGTCGCTGCTGACGGCCAAGCAGCTGGAGCAGATGGTGTGCGGCATGCCGGAGATCTGCTGCGACGTGCTGAAGAAGGTGGTGCGCTACAGAGAGGTGGACGAGCAGCACTCGCTGGTGCAGTGGTTCTGGCAGACTCTGGAGGAGTTCTCCAACGAGGAGCGAGTCCTCTTCATGCGCTTCGTCTCCGGACGCTCGAGGCTGCCCGCCAACACGGCCGACATCTCGCAGAGGTTTCAGATCATGAAGGTGGACAGGGTGAGTGAGTCAGGGAACTTTAAGAGTTAGGTCCCAACATTTCAGGATAATTCCAGTTTGTTTCTATTCATTTACAGAGGTTAGATGGAAGAAAAGCAGCCTAAAAATTCCACATTCACAGTCTCACACACGGGTTTTAACTGTAGAATCGATCGGCTCAACTTTAAATGTGGTCAGTACGCTCTCTAGAAGTTCACGATTAAAAGTTATTCAAATCTTTAAATCGTTTAACGGTGTGTTTGTGGCGCCACCTCAAAACTGAGCCACTAACCTTAAGCCTAACATCAGTATACATTCTGCAATCACACTGCACGTTCGATTCCCGCTTATACACAACTACCTGCCAATGCTCAGTCATAGCGCCGCATACTAACCACAGGAAGTATGCACTGTATGGTGTTGTTATGGATGGGTTACATCTGAGTGCAGGCGACATGGAGGGAAGTTAAACATTGTCCATTAGCATTTACCGCCCACACTGTAACCACACAAAGCTGGTTTCCCTTTATACCGCATCAGAAACATGAAGCGTGAGCTGCCGACCAATCGCAGAGCGGCTCTCACGTGGCATCTCCTCAGCTGCTGCTGCTCACATTAGTGAGGAGGCTCAACGGAGAATATACAGTTAATCCTCCTTGAGTAATCACAGCGTCGGGCCTTAATGCGAAACGGGTCAGCGGGAGGTCGATCAGACGTCTGAACCAATGGCTGATTAGTTCCAGAAAGATTGGTCTGATTGGTTCCTCTCAGCATGAAGACAAACTGTTTTCCAGGAAGCTGACGAGAGTTTCTGTGTTTCCTCCACAGCCGTACGACAGCCTCCCCACCTCCCAGACCTGCTTCTTCCAGCTGCGTCTGCCTCCGTACTCCAGCCAGGCCGTCATGGCGGAGCGGCTGCGCTACGCCATCAACAACTGTCGCTCCATCGACATGGACAACTACATGCTCTCCCGCAACGTCGACAACGCCGAGGGCTCCGACACGGACTACTGATGCAGGCACTTTCACACACGGCACCCATTTAAATAAATTATTAAGTCCCGGGAATCACCGGGAACGGACCGTCTTATCTGAACGCCACACACGGATGCTTCGTCATCACTGCACCAGTCGTAGGGAACTCCTGAGCAGAAAGGCCACTTTTTAAACTCATTTTATGTACTTTAAAAACAGCACAGATCTTCATTTCTCCTCGTGGTTTATTAGCAGTTTTTAACGACACAAAAATCCACACGAGAAGTGCATTTAGTGTTCATTTCTTTTTCCATTGCTCCACATCCCATTTTCAGGGTTTCTGCATGGAGGTATGTTTATTTGTGTGGAAATGTGTATAGAATATTCAAGCAAGTGGTGGGGAAGAAGGAATATTGTACATTGTGTAAAATGCTTCATTAGGAAAATGTTTTGCATAATATCCATATTTATTGTTTTCATTGCCTATGCCGAGTTTCCCAAAGCATAAAAAAACAACAATAAATGCTGCATAATTGATCTGTTGTTCGTCTCCGCTGTTTTAAAAGAAAGACAAATATTTCCTTTCAGAAAGCAGACATCACATTTATTTCAGAAGTACAAAATATCACAAAGGCCATCTCTCAGGAGGAAATGAAAGGTGAGAAACTATGTACATGAAAGGAAACCTCTACATGTCTGAGCACGGAGTTTAACTGTACTGGATGTTCGTCTTAATACAAAACTCATATTGTTCACTGAAGGGATTACTGGTCGCTGTGTCCACTTTAGTCAAATAGGACTAAAACTCTGTTTGAGGAAATAAAACTCAGCAACCTGCAGCTGAACAGCTGAAACTCAACCCAGCCATCAAACTGCTCCACAGTCAGAATATAATAACACGTTCCCAGTTGTTTAAATAAGAAGAGGGAGCGCTGGTAACGAGAAAGCCGGTGAATTTAAGCAATAAAGTTTTTGTCTGATTGTTTCACAGCACAAATAATCGCACACACTGCCGCAACGCCTCATTTGGTCTGAATACGCCGAACCTCGAAGTTTCACCGAGCATTTACAACGGTTTTACAACTTTGTTTAGCTTCAAGGTCTCCAAATCCCACCGGGAGCGTTTCAGAAGCAGAGCGTCTTCATAGCCAGTTGCCTGTCCGTTTATTTGTGTATTTTGTCCATAAAGGGAAAACTGTAAAATCTACATGTGGTGTTTTATTTTGAAAATCGACCAGATTCTCTATGCCGTTTCTGTGTGACTTCCTGCCAGTCAGAAGTACAAGGCACAACCTGCTGCACACACACGGCGGGAATTTTGTTCTATTACACGTTTTAACTGGTACTTTTAAAAAGTTCTGCTCGCTGAAGCTAATATGAGGAAGATTATCAGCTTCAGCCGAACTGAAACACTGTGAACTTTATCCTCCATCAGGTAGTGTCAGCAGGACGGGCTCTGTTCACGGCTCTGTGGAGAGAAATCAGCGAGACAGCGACCAATAACGCTCTCAAGAGGTTCTGTCTTAAGGTTTCCTCCGGGGTCCCTGTGATTGATCGCTTTCACAACAACGTTAAAATGTAAAAGATTACAGGCACCGTCACCGCTGGCGACCAAATATATTTACTGTTAATGGAAGTAGCTGAAAAAATGAGTGGAAACGGAAAGCTGCCCAGGTTTTGGGGTGTTTCACGTTCTCTGAAACCTTAAAAAAAAAAAAAAACTCCAAAAACTCACATTGGTTAAAGTGGAGCTGTTAATTATCTTTACTCACATTCATACTGTTTAAATGAATGACTACAAGCTAATTAGACTTGACAACTGACTCTGGATACGTTGATATATTTCAATATGATGGAGTTTCCACCGTCAGCGAGGCTGCACGAGTCGTCAATGTGGTCGAACTGTGTCGTGGTTTCAGCATGAGGTAGAGGAATCATTAAAAACCTAAAGAGAAGCAGATCAAACAAGGTAACAGTCCGAGTGTTCAGGTACGAAAAGTCTCCATACCCAACGTAATGTGCATTCATTCATATTCAGATCCATAAATACAGAGTCCAGAGTCCGGCCTCCTTTGTTCCCTCTGTAACGATCCTCTTCTGCCAACTCCTCCTTTAGATCTGTCCAGGTCCGACGGATCCTCAACAGTCCGATCTACGTTTCGTCCTGGAGAACCTCGGCAGCTGCATTTAAAAAAAGATGTAGAAGACTTTGAAACATGCTTTTTTTAAGGCCTTTAAGTGTCGTCAGGAAGCCGCGAGGCGCCGGAGCGTCGAGGTCTCGCCACGTGTGAAGCGTCCTCTCAAACCAGCTCCGACAACCAGCCTCCGTCTCCCATAGTCCTCGGGGCGATGATGCTGTCCTTCGCCTTCAGGAGTCTTTCCAGACACGGCGAGCTGATCTTGAAGGGCAGGCGAGGTTCGGCGGCGAGGCGGTGCCCTGTGCGTCTGTCGGTGCTGGAGGAGACGGCATTGTCCTGGGTCGCCTCCTGGCTGCAGCGTGCCGGCAGAGGGGAGGCAGCGGCGGCGGCGGGCCGGCTGAGCGTCGATTCTGGAGTTTTCAGGGAGCAGACCGCCGACGTGTGAAGCCATTTGAGGTGAGTGGAGGAGTACGAGGCTGCGACAGCCGGCTCCACGTCTGAGGAGCAGAGCAGAGAGGAAGGAGGAGGAGGAGGAGGAGAGGAGGCACTGCTATGATGCTGCAGAGGAGAAGACAGGAAGATAATGTCAACAACAACAAAAACAACAACAACAACAACAGAAATACACAATCTGACACTGGAAGCTTTTGATGATCCCACAATGCATTGCACTAAGGAAATAAAGGAGCCGATCTCAACTGGGAAAAATCTGCTGCAAATAATAAAAATGAAAACTTTTTTTAACTGACATCTAAAGTGGCAGGTTGAGTGACTGTAAACTTGATTTCTGGTTTACTACAGAATGTTTGACCTTTAACCCTCTAAAAGTTATCCTGATTAAATCAATCTAAAACAAACTGTTCACACAGGACGAGTATTAACAGCAGCCCTCGTGACTTTCAAAATAAAACTCAATTTGTTTTTGGTAAAGGTCTGAGAGGAACCCTTTAACCACCATGTCCAGAACATCAGGGACAGGATGATCTGTGTTACTCTCATTATCTGACCTTCACCGTCCTCTTCCAGGACTCCGTTACATAATCCGCCTCGCGTCTCTCCTCGCACTCAGAACGCCGTCTCCAACAGCAACAGATCGACTGAAGAGGTTTTAGAGGATTTTAGCTTTTATCTAATTTAGCTCACAGATATTCTCTTTACTGTGACTGAGCAGTGAGACTACAGGGGATCTTTAGCTCAGACGATGAGGGGATGATGGGAGTTTGAACGCCGTTACCTTTTGTTTCTTGGGCGGAGAGCCGTCGTCTGTCGGTTTGATGTTTGGGAACCAGCTCTGGAGCATTTCTTCTATTTTCAGTATGATGCTGAGGAAGCGGCCGCTAGAAAAGGAGAGAAAGAGAAGAACAGGAGATACTTTAACGGTACACTGCTGGATTTACCAGGAAACTCCAACAGCTTAAAGTACAAATGCCTCAGAGTAAAAGCACTCTGTTACAGGTTAAAGTCCTGCAATCAGAAGCTTCCGCAAGCTAAAGAACAGAACTATTGTCAGGAAATGTACTGAAAAATGTTTAACAAGCTGAGAGTTCAATTCTTTCATTTTTATGACTCAATAATCAATTTATAGTTTTATTTTATTACGTTTTATTCTCCAACCTTAAACTGTAAATATAAATATTCACATTTCAGAAGCTGAATTTCTCAATAATCAATCATCAGTTTAATAATTTACAACTAATTGATTAATCAACTGATTGTTGCAGCTCTGGTGCGTTTTATTGATTATTCATTCCACTTTGTCGTTTGTACAGATTAAAGCTGCAGAATACAGTAAACACGTCCTATTGGGATTATTCTGACAGATATTGTGGTTTCTGCATCGTTAATCTCTGGAAAATAAAATCTTAAAATCATGATGATGTGAAATTATCACAAACAATGTGTAACATTTATTTGTTTATTATTGGAATTTAATTTCTTCTGAGCTCATTTCAAAGCTCTAATCTGGATCATTTCCTCATTAAACTGTCTATAAACTGTAGATGTGTGTTCTATATCACAGCTACAGAGAGTTTTATAAGAGTGTGTCTGACGTAGGAACTATTGGAGCAGTCAGATCAATGTATGGGGAGTACAGTGGGAGTGTGTGACGGGTCAGGGTGCAGTCACTGGTTCCTTCAGACCCGATGTGAGTTTCCTGCTGCAGATTACAGAGTCAGAGACGCCCTGCAGCTCAGATGGCTTACGGATGTCTCGCCAATGGCCATTACATAAGCCCCATAAAGCCCCCGCCAACACACTGGGCGCTCTGCGGCTATCTGATTGGTGGACAACATGAAATAGCACAAAGACTGAATAAATAAAAAGGCCTGTGAGGACGGGGTGGTACCGAGGGGTGAGATGGGGGGGGCTGAGGGTGAAGGAGGATCTGCATTCCTCTCCCGTTCTGGTGGTGCATGCTATCCGGCACTACGAGCGATCCATGACGCCCGTACAGAGGGAAGACAAGTAGAGCATGTTCAGGTCACATGAGAATGTGTACCCGACGGCAGACACCACCAGGAACACACAGACACACACACACACACACATCACACAGTGCGATGCAGCCACACACGTGGCAGCGGGGGGGGGGGCCCTCATTCCATTCACAGGGCTATAAAAGAACAGTAAGCCGTCCTGACAGCGGTACCGCGAGGGCCCCGCCCACCGTCACAGCAGCGAGAGAGTTAGGAAAACAGCACCACACACACACACATGAACACACAACACACACACACACACGAGTAATAGAATCCCAGCTTAGGTAGGCGGCGAAAGCTAATGATCTAGTTTATCGCTGTAAGAACATATTTTAACTTTATAATCGCTCCACCTCAGAGGAAACGTTGTGACTTGTATGACTCCGGTTACTTTGTCTGACGGCTTCAGTATTTATAATTGTTGGAAGTCGCAGAACTTGTGTTCTTATAGCAGCGGTTCCAGCCGCCAGCTTAGGGGGCGACAAAGCTGTCACGTGAGGTCCGAGGACTTTTGATTTTAAAGAGGCGAAAGAATAATTCGAACAGTAATAAACTGTAGTTGGTAGTTTGTAAATTTAGATTAGTATAACAGAAGTTGATTCACTAATTCTTCTGACAAACCAGCCTCGTCCTGCTTTAGAAAACACCAATATTTACCTACCCGGTTTAAACATTAAAGATAATAAGAAGCATTGTCTATAAAATTGGTCATAATTGCATGGATGCTTCATATATATTTAAAAAAACGAGAACCAGGTGGGAAGGTGCTGAAGAACGACAGAGTTTGGATGAATTCCCTGAGCAGAGTTAATTTATATTAGTATATACTATTAATTTACTCTATATGAGTAATACTAGTAGTCATTATATACTGATATATAGTACTACTAGTATAGGCCTACTTCAAGTATAGTAGTGTAGTACTTATATATATATATAAATAAAACTCAAGTAATGTATAACTATTATACGGTATACGGTATCTTCTATATATACATAGGATATATCATTATAGCTATATCATAATGAAGACCAGATTGGAAGCCATTTATAGTATTTATATAATATTTGATATCATTTTAAACGTTTACTTTGTATGTATGTTTTTTTTATATGTCTGTCTGGTTGAGTCTTGAGTGCTTATACACAGAATAACCAGTTATTTGAATTGAATTAATTCAGATTTTCTCGTCCCTGACATTTCACCGTTGTTCTACTGTAACCAAAAGTCAAAACATTTATTAAAATAAAGCCTGTTTCCATGGCCACAGGGAGCTTTTATCTGCTGTAAACCTCATTAACTTCCCTAAAGAATAATCTGATATATTTATGTGGTACTGTCAGAAAGGGAACATTTACATTCATCCCTCACAAATATCTCACAGACAGTAAAATGAATGAACTTTCCACCAGCAGTGACGTCGCTGCTGTAAACTATCTGGGATTTTATTGCCTCTGAAGTTTTATATTGCTGCTTTTTGCCACCTGCGTCGACATACTGCAGCTCTGCCAAACGGAAACCGCCGGCATCACGGCGCTGTGGCGTTGCGGCGCTGCCTGTGTGGTCCCACGCTCAGACGCGCTGTTTAAACATAGATGTTCATTTCACGGCCCACATGTCAATCTCACTGAACGTGTCAAACCAGGAAGAGACTGTGAAAATGCTTCTGCTGTTCCTTCTGCTGTACAGGAGATTAAAGGCCTCAGTGTGCTCCAACCTGAGGGTCGGGGTCCACTAAGGGTCGCCAAAGCTTCACAGGGAGGTCGCGAGGCCTTCTTGATTTTAAAGGTTGTGAGAAAACTTTTAAAAATATACACAGTGGGCCGATATCTCAGCATTTTGTTCATTTCTTTGAAGAAAACTAAATGAAATTGTTCTTTTTAAAGTTTAAATTATTTAATATATAAAGTTTGAAGCCTTCAGTCTCTGATAAACAGCCTCGTCCTGCTTTACATAAGTTAAAACAACTAAAGAACGAATAGAACAATGAGAAGAAAACACTGAATTTGTCAAAAAAGAAGCTTTTTAAGTCTGTATGATTGTTAATAAATGAATAAATACATAAAACAAACTGAAGATTTAATAAAAAGTTCCTAAAAATGTCAGAAAAACTGGAAATAGCTCAAAATTCATCCAAACTGCTGGTTTTACACAAACTGCCTGCAGTTACTGAGTTCACTGTTTGTGTGCATTGTTCCGTTTATCAGCTGTTTTGTATTATTGTTGTTATTTATTAAAATATAAAATATATGTCTCTTACTCGGTGACAAACTGCACTAACAGACTCGTCTTTGTGCTGCGGTGACGATATTTTAACCTCCAGCATTTTTCTTTAATTAAATAAACGTTATAGTTGCTGACGAGGCAATGTCGGCCCACGTGTCGTTAATTAGCTCCAGTTTCTGCCTCTTATATAAACCGCTGAGACTTCTGCACCGAGGATTATTTATTCTATCTTTATCTTTATGTTCTCATTTATAATATATAATATATAATTTATATATAAAACAACATGTTCTGAGAGATTTTTACTTCCCGTTTACTTGGACTCGGAGTCTTTGAGGAACCTTTAGAACAATCTTGTAGGTTTAATTATTAAGGAATCATAAAATAATCTTCTCAAGGTCACCTTACTTGCTTTTTCTGGAGCTTTCAACCAAATCTCATCATCTTCATCACTTCATCATACTGGGGGATCACGTAGTGACAAAGGAAACTAACAAATGAAGAAGCCTATGAGAGGCATTTGAAAGCTCTTAATATCTCATAACAAAGACTTATTACTATTTAGTATTAATTTCTGCTCTACAATACGTTTGATCCTGTCATACAGTGTGTTTTACATACATTTATGGATAAATTAAATAGTTTAGGAGTTTAACAGCTACATTTCTCTGAGTGAAACTGTCCCGTCGACCTTCACAGGAGCTCACACTAATAATTCTCGCCGCCATCGAGAGCCGAGTGGACGCGGCGGTGAGGTGCGTCTGCGTGGCCCTGATAGAGTCAGCTCAGCTGTAAATCACAGAACAGTGAATTAAACGACCTTCACATGTTTTTCCTGCGATTGTCAGACAAACTCCACAGAGCTCATTGTTACTTCTCCACCAGACAAACTCCACCCGTCTGGCATCAAAGACTCAAACGAACCCGTGAAGAGTGACGACGGCGTTTGTGTAATCATCCTGTCGGCTGCGGTCGTACTTCATGTGTGTGACGTTACTGGAGGTCGGACAGAGTGCAGGAAGAATATATCTGTCTGTTAATAACACTTATTTATGTTAGAATAAAAAAAAAACCACCTCTTTGTGACATTTACAGCTCGTTAAACACGTTTGTGTCTCCACAATAATAATTAATCATGTTACAGTTTATACTGTGTTTGGTTTAAGTCCCATTATTCTCCCTGATGTTCACACATCAACCTTCATTAAGATCCAGACGTGTTCTCTGCATCTCAGTTTAAGATGTTTTACTAAATAGGAACTAAAAGCTGCAATATCGAAGATTTTAAGTAACACAACTTTGTAAGTTTAAAAAGATTCTTGATGAAGAAGCATTAACTTATACTTTTATTTCAAGTATTAAGTGACACCAACTCAGTTTTGTTACAGAAAGATTCCTGATTAAGTAGTTTTTGTTTTTCACAAACAAACACAAAGTACATACTTAAGTCAGCGTCACTTAAATTTACTAAAACTACTTAATCAATAATGTTTTTTAGACTTAAATTAAGTTAGTGTCACTTAAAATGTTTGATGTAAAAAGTTAAATTAACTCATCTGGTTTAAATACTAAACTATATTTACTGAGATAAATACACGAATCAGGCGATCGGTTTTACCATCTAGTGCCGCCACCTTTACTGAGGTGGAAAGTCGTAGTGACTCTGTGACTGCAGCATTATGGGTAGTTGGTTGATGTTAGATAATGACCTCCAGTTACTGATGAAGGGACTTTATATGGACGGTGATATTAGTGTTATTCAGATTTTACATTAGTGAGACATTTGTTACGACA